TATTTCTTACCTGAATAAAAACTTACTTAACCTGAAAAACTTAGTTTCATAGCTCTCTTTATTCTATTGCATTTATTTGTGCTGTCGTTTGCAATTTTTGTATTTGTTCTTATTTTATTAATGACTTTTTACTTGTTTTTTTTATGAAAATAAAACTTTGCGTTGAAGAAAAGTAGATTTTTGTTTGTATATGCTGTCAATTATAGTTCTTAGAAAGAAAATAAATCGGAATCGGCAAAAATCGTTATCGGCAGATCACACTAACAAAAAATTGGAAATCGGAATCAGCCAAGAAAATTGCAATCGGTGCATCTCTACTTTTGAGGGATTAATTGCACTAAGTGTCGTGACATACTTCCAATTTAAAATAATGTGGGTCACTTGTTTCGGGTCAAGTATGTTTATAATCTACTGCGGTCACCTAGTTCCTGAAAAGCCAAACACAGTGGCTTGTAAACATACAGTTCAAACAAAGCATAGGACACATCACTGTGGGTCAAAGTAGACTAGTAAAGAATGTATTACCAGTGCTCTTTGAGTGAAACAACTACACTTCAAACTAGTATAATTGATCATTTAGCAATATTATTTTAAAAAAATCTAATAATTTTTAAAGCTTTGGTTTATAAATGCCTCTTGAATTCAGCTGGTTGTATGCTCTTGGCAACCACATTGTGGTCAGCACAAACCATATTTTCCCTCACTGCAAGTGAACCTGTATTTAATGTAGTCCGGTTTGTTCTTTCATTTGCCATGTTCCCGTCTTTTAGGAAGACAAGGGCACGTCACGCAACCTGTTCGGTATTTGCCTAATTTGTCTAGTTTCTACCAAGCAAGAGATGAATAATTTGACTGCTTTTTATTGAAAGACACAGGCAACACTTTCTCCTCCCATTTAAAGTTAATTTATTTTGCTTTTCTAACCAGCTGGGAACCACTGATCTAACACATTGAATAAAATATGAAGAAAATCACCTTTACATTTTTACCCAAAAATGTAGCCATAAAATTTTTTTCATCTTTGGAATCTTTCATCCATTGAAAGTAATCAATACGAATCGAGCCGTTTAATTTAATCCATGATCGCTTTATATGATGAACAGATTTCATTTATTTTCTTCTCATATAAACATTGATCAATGCACATACAGCACATTAAACATGGTAAAACAGAACGCTGTGCATTATGTGCAAAAACCAATAAGGTTTATTCTTCTGCGTCATGCACACACATTTGAGATAAATCACATTAACTGAAAATCATAAAAATAATCGAATAATACATGTAAGGTAAGGTGCATTGAATGCTTTTAGCAGAAATGCAGTAGTTGTACTAAACAGAACACGGGAGTAGTTGTGAAATGTTTGAAACTACCAAAGAGGTTTTAAATGAAAGTAATCAATATTAAAAATAAAGTATATTTTATCTGCAATATTCAGATTTTGTCCATATAAAAGTTTTGCATGTTCATAAAACTAAAACTTAACTTTGCCATACTAGTTTTTGAAGTGTGCACTTACAGGCCGCCGCTTTGCTATGCACAAGCTGAAGAATCTTAAGCGTAGGCGTGCTGTGATCAAATTGGTGGCCTTTGCGCTAACGCTATAGAAACACTGTGGCTAATACACAGGAAGTATGACAAGAGACAATCTAGAGCTTATTACAATTCATATTTAACTTAGACTGTTTAGACATGTCTTATTAGCGCCAAGGTCTGTCTGCACCTTAAAAGGACAGTCTGAGTTAATTACAAACAAGCTTGCATTTTGCAGTCCAGCCTTCGAATGCACAGACTTACTCTGCAAATGTCAGAAGTCTCTGCTCGCTGAGATGGCAACAGCACTCCTTACACAGAAGCAAACGCCTTGCTCTCAGTCTTGCACTCAAGGACGACTGAAGCACTTTGAAAAACAACTGAAATGGTACATATTTTAAGCAAAATGCTCCTTGCGTTATTATTTTCTGGTTGACTAATGAACAAGTTTTGTGCATTGAATGGCTTTCTCGAAGTAAATGTTACAGGTAACGACTCAACATGGAGTTTATGGCAACATGTTAATATCAACTATGTTAAAGGGGTCATATGATGCGATTTAAATTTTTCCTTTCTCTTTGGAGTGTTACAAGCTCTTGGTGCATAAAGAAGATCTGTAAAGTTGCAAAGACTAAAGTTTCAAATCCAAAGAGATATTCTTTATAGAAGTTAAGAGTCAGCCACGCCTACCTAATACACCAAATAATGTTCTTTTTAGTAGCATCATATGACCCCTTTAATGTGAAAAATGCTGAAATTGCTTTTGATCATCTGATCACTTGTTTCAGAAAACACTGTTCAAATACTGCCTAAAAAGTGCAATGAATGTGAATGTTTCTTGTTTTGATATTTTTCCAAACATTTCTCTGTTCTTACTAAATTAATTTTATGAAATAGTTGTGAGCAAAAGAAACATAAGAGCAAAGTAAAATATATACATTTTAAATGTGTGTGGATGTGGATATGTAACGTATACAGGGCCGTTTGAAAATTGAGAAATTAAGTTGATTTTATTTCTATCCTTTTTTTCCTCACTCCCGTTTTTCTACATTATTTATATATTTAAAAAGAATAAAGCAGTCAGTAGTAATGAAGCTTAACTATTTTTATTTATTTTAATTATTTCTCGTGTAATTATTATATATCACTAATTTTCTAATAAAGTTCAGTACTATTTTCATCAACTGACAAGCTTTCATCAAATTTTTAATTTTCATGTTATTATTGATTTTTTTTCTTCATCTGTTTAATCGGTATCAGCAATATACTCTACTGGTTGATCTCTAATACAGACATTATGAACTCTTGTTGTATGGAAAGATTTTTTTAGAAATGTCTTCTATGTTCCAAAGCAAAAACAGCATACAGGTTTAAAAAAAAAAAATATGAGGGTGATAATTAATAAATAAAAGTTAAAAAAAATTAGGCATCTGAGAGGTTCAAGGCTGGGTAAAACACATAATTGCTCACTTATTCAAATTAGGATGAACCTTTACAAAAGAAACAAAATACAGGCTGCATTTCATTATGAACTCTTGTTGTATGGAAAGATTTTTTTAGAAATGTCTTCTTTTATGTTCCAAAGCAAAAACAGCATACAGGTTTAAAAAAAAAAAAATATGAGGGTGATAATTAATAAATAAAAGTAAAAAAAAATTAGGCATCTGAGAGGTTCAAGGCTGGGTAAAACACATAATTGCTCACTTATTCAAATTAGGATGAACCTTTACAAAAGAAACAAAATACAGGCTGCATTTCAGGGTTGACTGTTCGACTTTTAGCACTTTAATATTTCATGACAAGGAAAGTAAAATCCAGCCATAATACATGTGCACAGGCCTCTGAATTAAGTCCCAACCAAACCGTTTGTCACTCAAAATTGCGCACTTTTTTGTCTATTCATCAGACTTCACATGCGTTTGTAATAATAAACTGCAAATATAACCTTGCAGATGTAATGCCATCTGTCCTATAGATGACCACCCCCGCAATGTTTACATGAAGACAGAATGACCTAAGTTACTAAACAGCTCACATTTCTACACTTCTGAGACCTCGCCGATTAGACACAACTGCATGAAACAAATACAATGAATGGCACTTAAACGCTTAGCGTAATTTGCGCGTTATAGCCAATATCATATTATATTCTGACCTACTAACACTTCACAAGACCCTGAACTCACCATGCCCCCTTCAAAAACAAATAGCGTCAACCTAACCCGTCGCGATTCTGGGCTAACGCCCACGTAGTAGCGTTTTCTGATTGGCTGCATGCACATTTATAGCCCGCCTCCGCAACCAAACGATTGCACCTACTCGATGTCAATCAAGCACAATCGTAGCGCTTGGTTGAGCTGACAAGCAACAAACAATATTGCAGGCCGCCCTCATGTTACGTAAACAGATGTAATGCAAAGCATTATCTCCTCATAAACTTTTAGTTTACACACAAACACTACATTTTGAAGTTTTTACAACGCAGCTGGCAAATGAACATCATTTCGCGATAAAACGACTCGTTCTAACGGATAACAAATTGCGTTTTAAAGCTTTTGAGCTTCTTTTGATGCACAATCTAAACAGTTTAAAATCGTTTCGGATAGTTATCTATGTGCCAAAGGCTGTCCGCAGAGACTATCGTGTTTCCATTTCACTTTGCATCGTGCTGATGGGGGCGTGTACCCTTTACAGACTTAGTGGGGTTAATTCTAGTAAGGCATCGTCAAATCATCTGAATACAAAGAAAAAAAAAGTTTACAAATCACTGATCACCTCATATATGTATCAGATCACCTTAGTGTAACATATTTCTGATAAGCAGATATACACAACTTTCAAACAATGGTCTGAAATGTCGCTGAATGCTGTAAATTCATGACTAGGCTTTCCAAGTTCATCCGGGGGTTTCATAAAACCAACGATATCCAGCCTAATCATTTATGTCCAGTAAAAAAAAGGATAGTTTCTCTTAGAACAATAGTTTTCGATTCTGAGAACCTATACTTAATACACTTGATTTAGATCATCAGCTTGTTAATAAAGGACCTGGGTGTGTCAACTGGAGATGTCCAAAAGGTGCAGTGACGGGGACCAAGCAATGTTCTATAAGTTCTCGAGTAATTGAAAGCTAACAAGCAACATCTCCTGCCCTTACTCAGCACCAATGACTAGCCAGCTAAGCAACCACGGGGAAAAAAATATATTGCTCTAAAAGGACAAACGGGCACCTCAAGCTGCAAAAACACTCAGCATATCGCTGTATCAGCGAGGGAAACAGCCGAGAACAGGTCAGGGTTTAAAGAGGAACTAGAGCGCTGCTTTCACACTATGGCCTCCGTGTCCCTCCCCTCTGCTAGCGAGAGTTAGCCAGAGAGCTAACTCCAAGAGACAGTGTTTTTATCATCCTTAAACAACTATGCTCACACACTTCACAGCGTTGTCATGGTCAGAAAGATGACTCACCGTTAAGCTACCCATATACTAGTACAAAAAAGGTTGTAATTCCAATTTGATCCGTCTTTAGGAAAACTTAATGTCATTTCTTCTCAATCCACGCCGTCTTCCTCTGGTTTGTTTTGTTTTGTTTATCTTCTTCCTGACGGGTTCCTGGAAAGCGCGTGACTGCCTTGTCACGTGCTTTCCTACTGGCCAATCAAGACGAGCGTTCGTTCTTGACCCAAAACAAGTTATTTAAATACCTTGGGCTGACCTGTGTGTAAAATTGTCCTGCAATATAAAACTATATTAAATTATATTATAAATGTATTCATAATATGATGTAATTAATATAATGCCTTTCTCGTGATCTTAAATGCTTTTTAATAAATTAGTGCTAGCTTTGTTTTTTTTCTCAGTATTTTTTTTTTTTTTTCCAATTAATATTATTAGTATTTATCTTGGCGCAAGCATACAGAATTGCATTTTGTGAATGATTCGGAGAGTAAGAAATACTTTTTTCTAATCTTGATATCTGTGTTAGCTTGCTGAAACATGCCGATTCATTGTCTTTTTTATTGAGCCCTCTCAATAACAACCAATAAACTAACAATATTCCATTAATCACAAAAGCAGAGTGTGAAGAGCTGTTTGCCAGGCAACTGCTAAATTAATAAAACAAACAGATGGTTTCAAAAGTGCACCAAGTTTTGTCCCAAGCCTCTGTGGTGGCACAGCATTTATGGATCACAGCTGATGATGTCAATATCGCTGAAATGGTTAAACCCCTCTTTTATTGATGAAAGCTCAAATATCATTTTGATTTTGGTTAATATTATTTCCCTATGTATGTATTAATTGTAATAAATAAAGCTAAATATCCATCCATTTTCCTCTTAGAAATGCAGATACAACAAATATAATAAATAAGCTGATTGAATGACTTTAATTAAAGTTATATACTGTATTTTAAAGTTCAAATGCAAAACAAATAGTTACAGCAACCTCCATTGGTTTTACATGGTATGGCACAATACAAATAATATTTCACAAATCAATGTTCTGTTCATTTAGTCTTTTTTTTTTACACTACTGACCCCAAGTTTGTAATAATTAATATTTGAATATATTTATATGCTCACAGAAGCTGCATTTATTTGATACAGTAATATTGTAAAATATAGTATTACAATTTAAAATAACTTAAGAGTTTTCCATTTGAATATTTCTAAAGCAAAGCTGGATTTTCAGCATCATTACTCCAGACTTCAGTGTCACATGATCCTTCAGAAATCCTTCAGATATACTGCTCAACAAATATTTCTTATTATTAATGTAGAAAACAGTTGTGCTGCTTAATATTTTTGTGAAAACTATGATATATCATTCAAAGCTTTGGGTTAATTAAGTTAAGGAAATAAAGTAAGAGTGCATTAAATTAACATTAAAGACATTTAGAATGCTACAAAAGATTATATTTCAAATAAATCCTGTTTTTAACTTTCTATTAATCAAAGAATATTGAGAAAAAAAATGTATCACAGTTGCCACAAAATTATTAAGCAGCAAAAACATTTTCACCATAAAAATAAGAACTATTATCATTAATTGATAATAATTGAGCACCAAATCAGCATTACAGAAACAAATTATTTAAAAATATATATATATATATATTTCACAATATTACTTTTACTGAATTTTTGATCAAATAAATGGAGCTGTGGTGAGCATAACAGACTTCTTTCAAAAACATTTAAAAAATCCTAATTATTCCAGACTTTTATTGGTAGTATACACTGTGTATTGTTGCAACATAGACAAAATTAGGCTGATAATTCATTTTATGCCTTAAATAGAAATGAATGTATTAAGTTTGCAAATAATGAAACATGTCTTTGTTAAAGGGATAGTTCACCCAAAAATGAAAATGTGATGTTTATCTGCTTACCCCCAGGGCATCCAAGATGTAGGTGACTTTGTTTCTTCAGTATAACACAAACGGAGATTTTTAACTCAAACAGTTGCAGTCTGTCAGTCCTATAATGTCAGTGGATGGGAATCACGGCTTTGAGAGTCATAAAACATACACAAACAAAACCAAATTAAACCCTGTGGCTCGTGATGATACATTGATGTGTAAAGACATAAAACGATCGGTCTGTGCAAGAAACTGAACAGTATTTATATAGTTTTTTACCTCTGATTCACCGCAATGTCCGAACTGTCCTGAGCACTGACACTCTATCTACAATCTCAATTAGGAGTGTCAATGGTCCATTTGAGAGATAGGTGGCGGTAATGCACCTATAAGTCTGTGATCTGCCGTAAAGCAAGAAGAAGAAGACGCCTCACACGCAGGCTGAAGAAGAAGACGCGAAGGCGCTCAGGACAGTTCAGACATTGCGGTGAAAATCAGAGGTAAAAAAAACCGATATAAATACTGTTCAGTTTCTTGCACAGACCGATCGTTTTGTGTCTTTACACATCAATGTATCGTCATGAGCCGCCGGGTTTAATTTGGTTTTGTTTGTGTATGTTTTAGACTCTCAAAGCCGTGATTCTTATTCACTTCCATTATATGACTGACAGACTGCAACGGTTTGAGTTAAAAATCTCAGTTTGTGTTCTACTGAAGAAACAAAGTCACCTACATCTTGGATGCCCAGAGGGTAAGCAGATAAACATCACATTTTCATTTTTGGGTGAACTATCCCTTTAACATTCACTACTCGCATTACATATCCATATACATTACATAATCCATAATATGTTCATTTAAAGGCAAATTCTAAATTTCAGTAGCTTTAGTATATAATGTGTTTGAGATGTCCTAGTGATTCCAAGTGGAACGAGTACAAGATTCCATCAGAGGAAACGGCCTGTGTTTGCTTGTGCATGGCCTTGGGTCCGTCAGCAGGAATCTTCCCAAGGCCCCGGGCTGCACGCCAAGCCTTTTACTAAATAATAGCATCTATTACTCCTATAAGGAAACAATGCTGTTTCATGCATTCAGAGTTGTTTACACTGTTAAAGAGTTGGATTCTCATGCTAAGCATGGACAAAGTTTAAAAAAACAATTTGGACGTATGACGGAGTATTTCTGTGCCAAAAATCGTACTTCCGGGCTCGTACAAGTTTCCGGAGCTGCGTCCGAAATCGCATACTTCCATACTATATAGTAGGCGAAAAACAGTATGCGAGGCGAGTAGTATGTCCGAATTCATAGTATTCGAAAAACAGTAGGTGAGAAGTACCCGGATGACCTACTACTTCCGCCCGAATTCCATAGCATGCATACGATGGACACTTTACTATCCCATGAGGCCACAGGAGAGGAGGCGTCATATTCGAAAATGGCGGAAGGCGGCGACGCGGCTCTTTTCAAGTGTAAGTACCTCAGGGAAAAACGTTGTTCATTGTAGTTAAATTGCACTTTGCACTCTTACTGCTGAAAGCGGTAAGAATTACGTGAAACATTGCTGATGTTCGCGCAGTAGTGAGGGCTCTTTAAATTTTGGCGCTGTTGTGAAGACGCATGTCACGTGACAACATCATAACTTTGTTCAGCTTCCTAAAGAACCCAGCGTCATGTAGACAGTGGATACAGTTTGTTTTTCCGGGGAAGCAACAGAGTTTCACAAGTGTGTTTGTTGACGAACGTTTGATAAACAAGGCCCAGTTCGACACTGGATTTGCACATCGTTTGATACTGAAAGATGACGCGCCCACGCACGCATCGACCAGAGCGAGAGCTAGAGCGAGATCGCGCCCATCAACGCGCTTCATCCGGCGGCAGCGCTGCACGGGACTCGTGTTATGCCCCCTTTAAATGTTGTGAAAAGCGCAAGTCTCTCTCGTTAAGCGATGCAAATCTAAGCTGTTGCTGCATACTGATAGTATTCCATGTCTCTACAAGGCGGTTTTGTACTTCTAGTGTAATGATCTGCAGGTATGAAATGGTTCTGTTGCTTAATGCCGCTCCAAATAAGGGGATCAACTGGGCCAGCTGTGAAAGAACAAGAACAGTGACGTCAGAATAAATCCAAATGCGCTCTCAAACTTTTTTTTTTTTTTGCCAAATTCTGCATTCTTTGGGATTCTGAGAGAATGAATGGCCCACTTCGTCATGGTAACACACTGTACACAAACAAAAATGAAAGGACAAGATGTACAATGTGATTAGTATTGAGTTTCAGTGCATAAACAAAAAAAACTGTCCTTCAGGGTTTTCTAGTCATTCACAGAGAGAGCACATATTTCCAAATGATAACTCAATAAACATGCAGGTGTAAACGGAAATGATTTTACATGCTATGGAAAGTTCCAGAGTCTTCTACCACTCACAGTACTGTTTCACAGTTTCCACTAAATTATTAAGCAGCAAAAAAAGTTTCCAACATTGATAATACAAATTATTAATAATTGGTAATAACTGAGCATCAAATCAGCATTTTTAATAAGAAAGATAAATGTTTTATGGTGAATCTTACAAAAACATCCAGTTCATATTTCACCCTAAAATCCAAAATGAATGAATTAATGAATAAATAAATACTATATTTAAAAACTGCATAATCAGCATATACAGTATGTGTGTATATATATGTAGTATATATCTTTAGGTGTAGACCCTAAAGAGGATCAGTGGTTTGGAGAAAGGATGGATAGATTTGGATTTTCCAGACTTACTCCTGCAATAACCATAAGTTTTTCATGGCCTCAGTTTACCAAAGACCTGAAACTACACTGGTTAAAGCTATTCTCAAGAGCTCTGTGGTCACAATAGCACAGTCACAAGCAATATGCTTCTGAAATGGGCTCAATATGTATGAGCGGGTTACTATGTAAATAGATTCAGCAAACAACTGAAGAGGAAAAAAGGCTTTTCTGTTTGTCTATGCTGTTTCCTGGATCCGAGTGTGCTAGATGGACTGTTCTCTAATTCGCTCATCTGTCAGAGTTGGCAATGCACACTTGCACTATAAGTTTGATGCTTGGCTATCTAAATCAGTGCACTGTGAATATTAGAGTATTTACGATTAGTATTAAAGATAGAAAACCACATTCTGATTGTGTGCTGTGGGTGGTTGGTATGTGACGTTATGTATATTAAAACTCATTCAGACACAATTTACATGCATTTTGCAACATAAATGTAGGTTATTAACACCATAAACCCATTTCTTTGACTAATAATAGGCGCACTGTGGCATCTGAATTCAGTGAAGCATTGCTCAAAACCCATATCTGCAGACAACACTTAAATTGTTAACGTTCCAGAGAATCTCTGTAGTTTCTCACAGCGTTTTAACACACAAGGCCTTTGTTTTCCACAAGCTTAAAGCAGAGACCAGAAAGAAGGGAAATCTTCACTTCTTGTAACAGCGCCCTCTTATGTTATTTCTGACATTAACAGTATGTTTCATGGTTTTTTTTTTCATAATAGTTTTTTGTTTAGAATTACTACTGATCTGTAGCAGATAAATACAGTATGGAATATTTGATCAAAGTTTTGAGGCACACAAACTAAAGAACATTATGAACAATGAAATCAAATGTATAACTCCCCTATAAATGTAAAATCTGAATATATATGATTATATACATACATACATACATACATATATATATATATATATAATGTATGTATAAAATCATTTGAATTAAGTATTTCATAATGATCCACTTTGCATAATATATTGAATAATTTTACAAACAGGAATGCTTATGGAATGCTTGCATTGTAACGGTGCCTTAAGCTATAGAGCATGAACAAAAATTTGGATGTATCAACCGTATTTCTGGTCCATTCTCAAGGAAAAGAATATACACTTTAGTTGAAAAAATATAATAACTAACATTTAAAAGGTTATACAGTTTGTTTTTGTTTCTTTTCTTGTTTGCTTTAAAGAAAATCAGTGCTTTTATTCAGCAATGATGCATTAAATTGATCAAAAAAGTGACAGTAAAAATGTTTACATTGTTACACCTTTCCATTTTTTTTTAAATGTTGTTCCTCTGAACTTTTTATCCATCAAAGAATCTGGAAAAAAAAACGTTATCACTGTTTCAACAAGAATATTGAGCAGCACAACTGTTTTCAACACTGTTATTACATAGGGATGCACGATATTATCAGACCAATATCGGAATCAGCCGATAATGGCTTTAAATGTAAATATCGGCGTTGGCCCGATATGAAAAATTATGCTGATATGTCTTGCCGATAAGATGAATACATTACCTCACAGACAATGCAATTAGATCAGGTCAGCATTGTGGCTCATTCTTGAAGCAAAGTTTTGCCTGAATGGTGATTGGATTCACTGTTTTGGATCGCTGCATTTAATCTGAGAATGCATGTACAGAATGATGCGTTCGGTGTGTGATAGAGTAAACAGTAATAGCACGTGCAGCGGCAGCCTCCCTCGGGTCCTAATGCCCGCTCAGTAAGGAGTTTCAATTCCGTAGGGGCGCTGTTGGCCTACTTCTAAGAAAATGAAATACAAATATACAAATAATATTTAGACTGTGTTTCTGATTAAATAAAGCAGTAATTGATGCCATAAAATCATGAGTATGTTTTGATTTAAAGGTCAGAAGCTAGAGCTTACATTCATTTTTTTTTAATAATTTTATATATACTGATCTATTCATTAATGTGTTATGTTATATTTTTTAAACAAATTATGAGCTCTAAAAGATATTCAGAATTTTTACAACTCTTTTGCTTTAGACCCTTTACAAATGTTAAATCTTAAAATAAAATGTTAAGGTTACCACTGCATATTTCTGAAAAAAAAAAAAAAATGCAGTGATTAATATATATTTTATTTATAGTTATTTTCAAACCTTCAGTGTACTGTCATTATAAAATAACTTTATTATTGTTTATTTAATTCTAACAAATAAGTTATTGTTAAAAATATATAATTTCCACACAGGAGAGACTTGGTATTGTTTCCAAACAAAAGTAAATATATCGGTATCGGCATCGGCTATCGGCCAAAAAGAGTTGAAAAATATCGGATATCGGCAAAAATCCAATATCGTGCATCCCTACATCATTTACTCACCCTTATTTCGTTCTAAACCTCAACGAAACAAAGTTAAAAATATCGGTATCAGCCAAAATTAGTTGAAAATTATCGGCATATCGGATATCAGTAAAAATGCAATATCATGCATCCCGTGGTAATAATTGAAAATGTTTCTTGAGCAGCAAATCAGCATGATGATTTCTGAAGGATCGTGTGACACTGAAGACTGGAGTAATGATGCTGAAAACTCAGCTTTGCCATTATAGGAATAAATTATATTTTAAATTATAGTAGAAAACAAGAGTGTGTGAGATGGTATAGAAAATAGAATTAAAAATATTACTTTTTTAATATTTTATATAAATGCAGCCATGGTGAGCTTAAGAGGCTTCTTTGAAAAACAAAAATATCGTACAACTAATATATATATATATATATATATAAAAGAAGAAAATTTTTCAGGACCACTCAATTAAAATTGTGTAGAAATACCAGATTTGGAGCAGAATTCAGAATTCTTATTTAGAGATGACCATAAGCCATTTTTTATTGAAATGTGAAAGTCAAGCCATCATAATAAATAATTAGATTCCAAAGCTAAAAATCCTGCTAATACTTTTCCTTGCCCAGTGACATTACACAAACACAAGATCAATTGGAATCGTGAAACTGTAAGACTTCTTCAGCAAACATAAAAAACAATCCTAAACAAATGGAGAATTACTCTCACGTCTTTCCACACAACGTTTTCACTTCATCACATTAGCTCATGACAAGTGAGCTCACAGAAGCATCAAGCTGGTCAGTAATGGAGAAAACGTCCCACGCATTACCGCTGCCTGATACAGATCGCGCGTTTAGCCTGAGACCACACTGCTGTTCGCCTTCACCAAACATCTGGCAGACAAGCAGACATGCAACCTTTTTTGCATCTTGCATCAAAAAAGGAAAACTAAAACATAAGCCGCGTTGTGCTGAATCGAAAACATGCTGTTGCTTAGTCTCTTAACAGGTTTGACAAGTATAATCCCTCTTATCATACTTCACAGTGTCTTTATAATGACATACAGTATGGGCTGTGTCACAATTCTGTCTTCACTTTGTGCATGAGGTCCTTCTGGTCAATCATTTCCAGCTGTCTATTCCAGCGGTGGTAGGCCAACAGTGCTATATTCTTAGCTGCCACCGAGCTCATCTCCATCGCACTCCCAGCCCATTCGATTCCATTCAGGAAGTACAAGTTTTCGTGCAGCACCACCGGTGGCAAGCCCTGGGTGCTTCCGTAGTGAGGGTACGCCAACCAATCTGTGACCTGCACCGAGTAGTAGGACTTAAAAAGTGTCTTCAGCTCTCTCTTCTCCAGAGGTTTTGGGGAAAAGACCTTGTAGACTCCGGCCTGTTGAGGCTGCTTTCGGCGGAAGCCGGAGGTTATGCTGACCGGACAGACGCTGGCGGCGCTGTTGAAGAAAAGTCCGGGAGTGTCTGTGGTCAGGATGCTGGAAAATGGGAAGAGCTTTGGGTCGGGGAAGCCGAAGTAAGAGCAGTTTAGGTAGCCGTGGATGATGGAGGCCACAGTTTGGTGATAGGAGCCCGCTATTTCTGGAAGTTGTGGCTCAAAGCCCTGGAATGAGATGCCCGAGTTGATGTTTTGCTGGAGAGGCATCGCTACTACTACAATGTCATAGAGCTCTGATGACTTTTCATTTTGAGAGTCGTAGGTGAGCTCATATTGGTGGTAATCTCCTGAGGAAAAAAAAAGAATGTAAATTGCTTTTTTTTTTTTATAACATAAATGTGAAGTATATTACTATATTAACAGGGGTGGACGATTAATTGAAAAGGAATCAAAACCAAAATTCAGAACCTCTGACTGACATAATTTTCCTGTGTCGGTTATTTTGGTTTTTTTAATCTTATTAATACTTTCCCCTTAAAAACATACTACCGCAGTAGGCGCTATACGGACGTGACCGTTGCGCTTGCGTCTTTTGCAGCATCTCGCATGTGAGTGGTGCGTTATTATTTTCTACTTTTCACATTGCATTATTTAAACTAATATTCATTTACAAGAGATACAAGTTATTTCTCTACTTTTCACATGACATATGATATTTAAAATGGATTTTGTTTGCAAGAGATTCTGATTAATTTCTACTTTTGACATGGCAATATTTATTTGTTTGCAAAAAATGATGCACTCTTTCATTAGAAAAAAAATCCCACCTTTAATAGTTGATTATATTTACAATACAAACCTTTAATGCACTATGAGGGTAAAAAAAAAAAAATGTAATTAAATAAAAATAAAAAATAAAATAATCGTTCAATAATCGTAATCGAGTGTTCAATTAATCAAGGTTTTGATTTTAGGTCATATCGCCCAGCCCTAATATCAATCCATAAGATCACCAGCATGGCAGCATTGTTCAGTGACAATTTTATTCAAATACACATTAAAATAATGTCACAATATCTCCTATGATAAACATGGTTTAATTTATAAATCAAAATAAATTTTGATATTTTGGGGTTGTTTGGTATTTATGCAACAATGTCAAAGTTTTAGTGTGATACAACTGTCCTGATTCCATTTCATGTTGATAAAAAAAAACAAGGAAATGATATACGGTTATAAAATATCAAAATTATATTTATGAATTAATGAATTAGTGATATATAAATATATTAGAAAATATGTTGACGCTTACACATATTCCAGGTCTAAGGAAAACAACATATACATTTCTTCTTGATGATTATTAAATTGTCATTAAAACATCAAAACCATTTGAATCCAACATGAACAGAGTACATTTCTAAGAATGTAGCATATACATTTTAAGTTAGATTCTTACTTAAGTTTAAATTTAAATGTGCTGTAAAGACCATCCATTCTTTCTTCATCGGATTGGGAGAAATGTAGCATCACATCACTTACTCACCAATGGATCCTCTGCAGTGAATGGGTGCCGTCAGAATGAGAGACCAAACA